GCAGTGTCCTATACGAACCTGGGAGTGAAATATTCTCCTGAGCCAAGTTCAGTCAAATTTCGCAATATCAAAGAAGTTGGCCCACGAGGCAATGATTCAAACTACTCCACCACGTCAAATCTTCACCCCCAAAGAGTCCGATTCATAACTAAGTCTCATCAAGTCTTTAAGTACGATCTAGTACATCCTCGTTTCAATGACCACACCTCTCGTCGACTTTTTCTGGCCTAAGCCGGTCACCAAATACACGCCCACGCCGATTTTTATACCCGACGGAGGAAGCAAAGCGTGGAGCACAAATCTGGGAGACAGTTCTTTGGGATGGACGTGAGAGGGAAACGTTTTCGACGGGCGTGAAATTTCGAATTTTGGCAAGGATTTTTACGAATTGGGCTTTATGCGCGCCATGACTTCGCTTGCGAGAGTGCAGCTGACACTGTAAACATAAGCCATCGACGGAAGGTGTTGTGGTCCGCCTCCTGGTGGTGTTCTCTGGTATAGTTTGAGTAGCCTGGGCACCTACTCCACTTGGGAAGGAGACATCTCAGATTATATTTCGCGCGGAGAAAAGTTGATGGATGACGGAGGCATGTCTGGATAACTCAGGGTTTTTGAGACGTTCCCCTGGGTGGGTATTCACGGATGAGGGTTGACTTGGGGTGAAGAAAAAGCCACCATAACTTCGCAGTGGTACTTGCAAATGAAATCTGAGGCATGAGTGCTCCTCTTGTAAATTGAGTCATCTTTTCTGTACTTTTCTGTACTTTTCTTTGATATTGTGTCAAGGCTAGATAGCTGCATACACAATTAAAATCTGATGCAAAAAAAAACTCCGCAGAGGTTTCACCTAAGCTGAACCACGGTTAAACCGTAACACATGAGAACGAGCAAATATTTTCTGAATACGTTCTGTCACATAGCGTCAATAACAACATTCTAGAAAGGGAGATAAAATAGTAAGAATCAAGCCCTGGGGAAACAAAGCTGTCCATCGAAGATATTGCACATGCTAAAATCTGATCATGAGATACAGCTACTGGACTGAATGAGGTACCAGTTAGATCAATTAAAACCTTCTAGGCATACTCAAGACACCACGTCAGAAATATCTCTTAGGCTCGATTAAATTTTGAACACCTTTGATTTGCGTTCAGGGTAGAAGTCATCTCACCTCCAATACCTGAGCAGGACTTTACCTGTGCTAAAATCTGGTATTCAACTTTCTTGACATCGAGCTTAGGCAAAGGGTTGGAGCGCCTAGTCGTTAAGAGAATGGCATGGCTAGCTGTCACCAAATATTCGGCGCCCTCCTCATACAGTTTATGTCCAAATTTATTAAATTAGGAGGCCTTCTATAGCTGTATAGCTGTAGAGAAGACAATAGAATTATCACAGTGGAAGGAGGTCAGATAGAATGAGAAACGATAATGTATTATCTACAAAATAGTGACGGACAATAACTACTAAGTACAAATTTCCTCCACGCGACTGACCTGCATGAGTAGCGTTATTGACGCGACTCCTAAGCTTGACCTTGACTGGCTCGGCAAGTTCCTACACCAACCAGACACACCTTGTCATTTAACCAAATTTGTCTATTTTTTACGATTCAGAATCAACCTTGAGAAATGGCAAACCTATAGCCATATTAGCTCTGTATATTCAAGATAATTTTGATGCAGCCTTTCGTAAACACTTACTAGAACGATTACGAGACTAAGAATAGCCATTTTCACTTTGCCCTTAGATCCAATCCTTTTTGACTCAACGAAAATTTCATCCAGGATATCGTGAGGGCTTTGCAGAAAAGACAGCTGTAAAATTTAGAGCATGTTCGAAACATTGCGCAATAAAATGGGCGCTTTTTTCCCTGAACGAAGGAATAAGTTGTCTAGATAAATGTCACTTTTAGACTTCTTCTAAAAGAATGAGGGACATGTGCAAGAAGTACGTCTAAAACCGACACAGGGCCTAAGCTACTACATCAACGATTCGGGCGTCATCTAAGCATAGAAAATCCCCAGTGAACTCCTTGTGCCTACATCATACTCCCGGCCATGTATCCTTAAGTAGCCTGAAGCGCTATCTTATAGCATACTCTAATCTCTTTACTTCATAAGAAGTCGTATCAGGAACTTAGACGAAGTTTAGGGTCCAAATGTCGAGAAAATTTTATCTGTATTTCAACAGAGTGCATCAGAGCTTCCACTGCTAAGAAAGCCGTGTTTTCGGCATCTCGCAACTCTGGTAGACCATGGAGCTCTTGCTGAGGATCGCCTTCGCTGTGCTCATGAAAAAAAGTAGATAAATTGCGGATGTGAACTGGAGAAGCGGCCGTAGCAATTTGCAGATTGGCAACCCAGGTTATGGAAGTGGAGAACCTCTGTGCAGAACAAGACACCAAGAGTAAGGTGATATTGGGAGCGATAGGCAGGTAAAATTAATGACATTATCTGGCTTGAACTAAGCGTTTTAGTCGGAAGAAGAATGTAATAGGGAAGATTTTTTTTTTTTTTTTTTTTTTTTTGCATCAGATTTTAATTGCATATGCAGCTATCTAGCTATGACACAATATCAAAGAAAAGTACAGAATAGATGACTCAATTTACTATAGAAGCACTCATGCCTCAGATTTCATTTGCAAGTACCACTGCGAAGTTATGGTGGCTTTTTCTTCACCCCAAGTCAACCCTCATCCGTGAATACCCACCCAGGGGAACGTCTCAAAAACCCTGAGTTATCCAGACATGCCTCCATCATCTTTCAACTTTTCTCCGCGCGATATGTGATCTGAGGTGTCTCCTTCCCAAGTGGAGTAGGTGCCCAGGCTACTCAAACCATACCAGAGAACACCACCAGGAGGCGGACCACAACACCTTCCATCGTTTGCTTGTTTTTATAGTGTCAACTGCACTCTCGCAAGCGAAGTCTTGGCGCGCACAAAGCTTAATTCGTAAAACTCCTTGCCAAAATTCGGAATCTCATGCCCTTCGAGGTTATATCCGTCCTTCGCATCATCTTGTCAACTTGTCCAGATCCCTCTCACATCCATCCCATAGAACTGTCTCCCAGATTTGTGCGCCACGCCTTGCATCCTCCGGCGGGTATAAATATCGGCGTGGGCGTGTATTTGGTGACCAGCTGAGGCCAGAGAAGGTCGAAGAGTGGTGTGGTCATTGGAATGAGGATGTACTTGGTCGTACTTGTAGACTCGATGAGACGAAGATAGGGGTCAAACTCGTTAGGAGCGAAATAACGAAGTGGATGAGTAATTTGGATTTTTGCCTCGTGGGCCAACTTCTTTGATATTGCGAAATTTGACTGAACTTGGCTCTGGGAGAATATTTCACTCCCAGGTTCGTAGAGGACACCGCGTACAGGTGTTCAGTCTTGCCCTCCAATAGGGAAGATTGATTGGTTGTTTTGGTCGTACTTCCCTCGTCAAAAACTTTCTAGCCCATTGGGCTCCTCTCTGACCCTGGCCATTCCTTGCACCGTGCTACTAAGGTCTCTTTTTATAAACGTAATATCTGATATCTTTCCAATTTCGGATAGTCATCTAGATTGCTAACTATCCATAGAATTCAGTCATCGTTTCCATAGAACCTCCTGCCCAAAAAATGTATCCAGATAGAAAATGGACTCAGACAGAAACTGTGTGCGCGAAGAAGATTCTCGAAAAATCCTTGGTCGACACTGAATCTCTGCTCGACGAGAATATTTCACTTCAATCTTCATAGATACCTCAAGAAGGTGTTCAGCCTTCGTAATCTACCGGAGACTAACTAGTTTGTGAGATGTTGCCTTGCTCACTTCTCATGGATGCTATCAAGTTACTAGCTTGCTCAGAATCCTCCCTGGTATTCGTACTGAAAAATATAGTCCTCGTATGTGAGCATAGCAATCGACCAACGTTTGATAGTTTCTTTCCGAAGCTAGTCGAGCGCGATAGTATCGTCCGGATAACGTAGTGAGGCCTTAAAACGATGTACAAGACCAGGACCATGGCTAACTCAGCCTGGTGTGAAACCATCTTCTCATATGATGTTTCTTTGGACATGCCCACATCCATATTTTCTGGCATCAATCTATTGTGGTTTTCTTACTATATTATTTTCCTTTTTCAGCTTACAGCTACATAGGACACGCACGTCCTCTCTGCCCTATGGCCAAAAAACCCTATCTAGTAGTTTATCCCCTCCTAAATCTCCAGCACTGCTTCCTTCAAACAGTATCACTCCTCACTGGTCCTTGTTAAACCATCTGGTACGATTTGATGAGTCTGAGTGGGATAACAGTTCGTGAGGTGTACATTGACCTCAATTAAAACAAATATAGCACCATTAGTCGAGAAATTTAAATATCCCGAGAACCTCAGAGAATCTGTCCTTGAGCGGGGCTACGTTGTAAATCAATGTGACCACAAGGAAAACTGACTCTCATAATCTGATGAAGCTATTCACATGTAGTTTCGAGAGTAGAATTCACTAGATTACCAACTGACTATGAAGTTTTCAAAATAGGGAAGCTAACAATAGATTAGATGATATTTGAGAAGAATTTCTTATTCGCACTGTAATGTTTGGCATCATACATTAACTGGCACTCAGATTTCGATATATTTTTGTTGAAAGTAGAGCTTGTTTTGTTACAAATTTTGAGGCTTGCAGTGAATGAGCAAAGGGATGTAGGGCGAAGGTTACCATTCGTTTACATCCCAAAAGCTGACATGGTCATCGCATGAATAAATTTTAATTCGCACATGTGTCAAAGTGACATAGAATAAGCTATAAGCTATTTTCCGAAAGCATCTTCTATCTTCCACGTTGCGTGAGTGTGTTATTCACTCCATTCGTAGTTTTGGAGGCCTGGACATGGAGCGACCACTCACTAGCTCTAAAGGTCATCTCCTATTTAAGAAATAAATAGAAAAGAGCAGATACCAGCTTCATATATTGTTTCATTCAAGTTATCAAATTTTGTACTCCATCCGAAGAACACTACAAATCTGCATCATCTTCGTCCGGAAGAGGCATTTGAGCTGCTTCATGCATCTCTTTCTCATATTGTGCGAGGAGTGCGTGATCGACAGTGGCAGTAGGAGGGGCGAGTGCTGGAGCTGCAACGAATTCCTGATATGGATTAATTTTCTAGCGTTAGATGGGCAAGTTAGATTTTGAACATACCAAAGCCGGGTTACCGACAAGCTTTCGTGCTAGCCATAGGAACGGCTTCTCAAAGTTGTAATTTGACTTAGCAGAGATGTCGTAATATTGCAGGTTTTTCTTTCGGTGAAAAGTAATTGTCTTAGCCTTTACTTTTCTTTCTTTAACATCAACTTTGTTTCCGGTAAGAACTATGGGGATATTTTCGCATACTCGCACTAGGTCACCTGTTTTTTGATGTTTAACATAGGTGAAGAAGTTAATAAACGTTGAGACACTTACGGTGCCAGTTGGGAACGTTCTTGTAGGTGATTCGAGAAGTAACATCAAACATGATGATACCACATTTTCCATTAATGTAGTATCCATCTCGTAAACCTCCAAACTTCTCTTGCCCTGCGGTGTCCCAAACATCGAACTGTATTTCTCCAAGATTCTAGGTGATTCATCAGACATATGCTGTACTGCTTGATCCCGATAAGACCTACCGTGTTAAATTTTAGAGGATGAACTTCCACACCAAGAGTTGCTATATACTTTTTCTCGAATTCTCCAGTTGTGTGGCGTTTAACAAAAGTAGTCTGGGAGGATTAGTATCGTCGACAAATTGTAAACTGATCATCACTATCACGTTGCGGCTCCGGATCTCGTGTTGGGTAATAGAATGAAGGGAGGTTGAAGGAATACCTTTCCGGTTCCTCCATCACCGACCAAAACGAGTTTAAACGACGGGGTGACAGGTGCTTGGGCCATGATAATTGAGTAAAGATGGGTGAGATTGGAGTAGGCCGATTTCTGTGTGGTATTACTAGGTGGAGTATCAGCAGAGATGGCAAGAGTATAGAATGGTGTATTTAAAATGGTGGAATAGTAACCTTTTTGCAATGACAAGACTCGATCTGGTTAGTTGAGCAGGTGAGGGGGTGAAATAAGTAGCAGGTGATTGTGATGCTGTGCTCCAGCGGGTCGGCAAATTTTGAAAATGACGCTAGTCTAACGGAAACGTCCGGTGTAATTCCATCAATCAACCACACCGCTGATAAAATCGCTACATTACTCAAGTATCTTGTAGTTTAAGTTTCGTGCCAGGAAAGTGGTTTTCACCGAATTTGATTATTTCAAGTCTAGTTTCTTCCTTGAACTTCACCTGCACATTACTCCACGTAGCAAAACATATTGCTCACAGAATCCTGAAAAGGGAGTAGTTTTTGGATGACAAGATTAAGTTCATGTCACAGTCTCTACTAAATGTAAGACTATGGAGGATATCGAGAATATAAGTTGTAGATTATTGTAACATTCAATAAATCTATACTAGTCGCACTTCAACCTTTAATCTCATGAATATTGAGGGTTAAGCCTTATATTAAGATGGATCTTTTCAAGAAATTAGCAACCTCGCTAAATAGGTCCAGAACAATTTTGAATATATTCGGAATCTACCGATGTGTCTATTTGAACTAGATCTTTAAGTACCCAAGCTGAGCTAAAAATGTTCAGCGTAGCCACCCCAAGGCTAATTCAAACATAATTATCATCATGCCTTGCTGAAACCCTTTTTTTTGTAAAAACATAGTTACAGCTAGCTGAATAAGAAATGATTTTCTAACATATTCATTCAGTTTTTTTTTAATTCATTTTTTTCTCCTACTTGAGCCTATGACTACGTAGGACATTTATTTCCTCCCTGCCTACAGGTCAAGGATACCTATACTAGTAGTATATCCCCTCCTATGCCTCCCTCACAGCTCCCCTCAAACAGTACCGCCCCTCACAAGTACTCATTCGATCATACACTTAGAGGAGCCCTTTGCCCCTCATTATCTCCCCTCTCCAGCCAACGAAACGATGGCCATTTGCGGGTGTATGGCAGCCAGGAAAAATCGCAAAAAACCACTGGGTGCGGAGCTCTCCTAATACCGACATTAGGACTAAATCCGAAGACACAGTGATCCTTCTGAAGCGTTCGAAGAGGCCGGCCAGCCGGCCAGCTGGGCGCTGCACACTTGTGGGTAGCTCGGGAAATTCACACTCTGCCTTTCTAGCCTCCTTCCAACTCCATCCCGAAGGTCGGGTTAAATTTCAGAAAAGTATTGTCAGAGCGTGATTGCTGTATGGTAGCTTAGCCCAATTTCTTTTGTGCCGTCCAGGGCCTTGGTGAGTGCCGTTGACACATCGACAGTAGAATTCCTGCTGGCCAATTAGCCGAAATCTCGGTCTTGGCGCCCACAAACGTTTCAAAGTCGAAAACCCGTCGAAAATTCAGTTCCATCATGGTCTTCAGAGACCCCATTCTGCTCTCGCCCCACATCTCAGCCGCCTATCCTTCCTCAAGATGTTTGTCCTATTAGAGCAACTGTCCCTCATAAACCAAGACTCAGGCGTTGTATATTATAACTTAACTTCCCCCTTGCGGGTATACGTAGCGTCGTAAATTTGTAGTGAGTGATGGCCGGTAGTGAATGAGGCAAGCTTCTGTATGCAATTGGAGCAACTTCTGTATTGGTCGTTGAGGCGAGATGATGCGTGGTTAGAGATGGGTTGAGGACTCAGATGATAATGATGAGAGAAGCATTGCCGAGAATTTGTCAAATGGAGATGTGTATGAGGTTGCTTTCGACTTCGATCCGGATGCGATTCTTCTTGGCTATCACAGATATGCAAAGCACACTGAGCGATTACACCGGCACCACTGGAAGGTGAAGAATTTGTCTTTGCCGGCAGAGAAAAATTACAGAATGAGTAAGCGAACTTCAAAATAATGCGTACATGGCTTGGTATTTGCAAGTACCATTGCGAAGTTATGCCGAATTTTCTTCATCCTAAGTTAACCCTCATCTGTGAATGCCCACCCTGGTCAAAGTCTCAATACCCCTGACTTATCCGGATATGCCTCCATTCATTTGTCTCCACGCGAAATTGATCTTAGGTGTCTCCTTCAAAAGTGGAGTAGGTGACCAGACTACTCAGACTATACCGGAGAATACCACCAAGAGGCGGATCACGGCTTCTTTCATCATTGTCTTGTTTTAAAGCACTAGCTGCATTCTCGCAATCGAAGGGTTGGCGCACACAATGCTTTTCAATTTGTAAAATACCTGGCTAAAATTCCAAGTGTTACAGTTGTCGAGATTGTACTTCCTTTACATCATCTAGTCAACTTGTCCTGATTTCTCTCTTGATCATCCCAGAGAACTTCCAAAATTTGTGCGCCACGAATTTTGGCCTCATACGGGTATTGGTTTTGTCATGGTTAATCATTAAGTCGCAAGCAGAGGCCAGGGATTAGTCCACGAGAGTTGTACTTTAAGAATGAGGATATTTCCGGTCGTACTTGTAGAGTTGATGAGGCTTAGATAGGTATCGATCTCATTGAAAGGGAAGATTGACATGGCGGAGTATCTTGAATCATTGCCCCATGCCCCATATTTGTTAGTATTGCCAAATTTTACTGAACTTGGTTCCGGAAGAATATCTCACTCTCAGGTTCGTAGACACCGAGTACAGGTGTCAAGTCTTGCACTCTTACAGACAATACTGCAAACACAGTCATGGCTGGAATGAATGAATGAAAGTTTATTCGTGACGGGCACAAGCCCTGCACTCAAAGAGCATGACACGGAGAAGACCAGCTTTCCCGACGACTATATACGACGATAACTCAGTTTGACATTTGGACTACTCATGTAGTGGGTGCATTCGCTGATACCACTCGAGGCCTTGGTGCTAGAAACTTTCACCCTTCCCTCAGCCATTAATATCCACCAAAGGGAAAACAGGAAAAATGTTTGGCTACCCCAACATGCCTTTGTCATATTGAATATAGCCGCCGGGCGAGATATGGCCTCACAGTCCTCCCTTTCTCGAGTGAGGTAGATGTCCAGGCTACCCAGACTTTAATTTGGGGAGATGACGACCAGGAGACGGACCAAAACACCTCCCATCGTTGCCTGTTTTCAGAGTGTCGGTAGTACTTTCTTAAATCTTTGCCTCGGCGCCCACAGACACTCTTAAGTCGAAAATGCTCGAAAAATGGGCGTCCCAACATTCCCATTTGTGACCTCTTCACTCGTTCGTCCCACTTCCCAGCTGCCTGTCCTCCCTCAAGATGTGGAGCCCCATTAGAGCAACGGTCCCCCATAGACCAAGACCCGAGCTTTGTAGATTATGCCTTAATTTCCTCCTCGCAGGTATACATAGCATCGCAAATGTGTAGTGAGAGATGGCCGGTTTTTGATGAGGCAAATGCCCGATTGTGATTGGAGTAACACCATTATCGGTATTTAAGGCGAAGTCGTATGGTAAAATTGAGGTAAAGGACTTGCGTGAGATTGACAGGTGCGGCATTGACAAGAAGTCGTCGATTTTAGATGTGCTTGTGAGTTCTTTCGACTTCGATTCGGATCCGATTCTTCTTGGCTATCTCAGATGTGCAGAGCATACTGAGCAATTACACCGGCACCATTGGAAGGTGAAGAATTCGTCTTAGCCGGCGTCATGGCTGGATAGAGCTGTGATATTTCATCCTGGCTAATCTCTTGAGTAGAGTCTTAGCAACCTTTTGACAAATTTGGCTTGATACAGAAGATCGTTGGTTCGAATCAGTCTAATTTCTCACATTACTCACTGTAGTTGTGTTCTTGCATGGCAAAGGCATGCTTGGCCAATCAAAAGTCAACAAATCTTTCTCTGGTGGGCGTTTATGGGGAGTTGTCGATTGCATTGTGTAGAGGAGCATACCACAGTGGTAATTACGAGTGGAAGCCAACGTTTCGGGTTCTGAGCACCCTAATTTTTTATTTTTTTTAAATCATTTAATGTGTATGCAGCTATCTAGCTATGACACATGACCGGTGCTATGTATACATGATGGATAACTATTTTGACGTTAGAGACACTCATACTCTGGATTTCATTCGCAAATACCACAATGAGGTATGTTCGCTTACACAAACAGTCGACCCTCCTCCGTAAGTACCCATCAAAGGGAATTTCGAAACCTTTGGTTATCCAAGCATGCCTTCGTCATCCATGTATACCAGCGCCGCGAGAAATGTGGTTGTGTTTTGCCGGACTTAAACGAGTGAACTAATGTCTCGAGTGGGATATGTGTCCAAGCTACCCAGACTCTACTTGGCAGACCGGCCAAGACGATGTACCACCACACCATCCAACCATGGCGATGTTTATAGTCTCGCCTGCACTCTCGCAACCGAAGCCTTGGCACGCACAAATCTCAATTTGTAAAAACTCCTTGCCAAATTTCAAAAACCCACGCCCATCAAGATTGTATCCATCCTTCGCATCTTCCTTTGAACTTGTACTGATCCCTCTCACGTCCATCGCAAAGAACAGTCTTCCATATTTGTGCGCCACGCTTTGCTTTCTCCGTCGGGTGTGAATATCGGCGTGGGCGTGTATCTGGCGACCAGCTAAGGCTAGAGAAAGTCGACGAGAGGTGTAGTCATTGGAATGAGGAAGTAATAGGTCGTACTTGTAGACTTGATGAGACTTAGGTATGAATCGGACTCTTTAGGGGTGAAGATTTGACGTGGTGGAGTAGTTTGAATCATTGCCTCGTGGGCCAACTTGCTCGATATTGCGAAATTTGACTGAACTTGGCTCTAGGAGAATATTTCACTCCCAGGTTCGTAGAGGACACCGCGTACAAGTGTTCAGTCTTGCCCTCCTGAGCACCCTTAGTTAACCCCAGTAAATCATCTTTCTAACAATTCCTCTTGCGTGCATCGCAGAGCGACTCGAGTACTATGATAATTTTAGATAATCAGAATAGACTTTGGTCACTTAGTTCCATCGTACAGATCATGACCTTATTTCGTGACATCCGAAGTATGAGTGTCTCAATAGTCATCAGGGTCAACCGATGTACAGGCATAGAATCTTTTCATTTGTCACAGCTCTCGGTTTTCCATTGTCATG